CGGGTGGGGCGCGCCACGCCCCCCCCCCCCCCCCCCAGCCCCCCCCGGTTGTTACGCCACTGGCTGGGGCCCTGTGATTTCTAGGTGCGCCCCTGAATGTAAGGGAATACCATCCTAAAATTGAACTGTTAACTCCAAGCAAAGCTAAAGGCTAGTTACATTCCAGAATCTGAAAAAAATACTTTCTGTTAGAGGTTCACCATCAATAGTTTGTATACCTCAACAAGTCCTTAATACTTGTATGTCAATTTGTTATTTGGATTTTCCGAACACTTGTATATTCTACATTACAAATACTCCTTTTGGCTTTGTAATAAACTTGAATCGGAGTAGGAGATATTTCACTACCGAACTTCCCGAAAGAGAACCAAGTCAACACCTGATTCTGCATGCCAGCATTAGTAGCTTTAGGGCCAGTTCACACCATGTGCAGTTGTGATGCAGTCCGTTTATTTTAACTGCTGCAGTCAAAATACATCCCAATGCTTTCCTATGGGCTTTCTTGAGCCTAATTCACAAAATTGCAGTCCGTTCAGATGGAGTCAGAAAAAGTACTGCTTGTTCTATTTTACCTGCATCTAACTTAACTAAATACATCAAAACGCAGTGCAAACGCATGCACATGCATCAAAACGGAACGCATACCAAAGAAAACAGAATTGATTGAGGCATCATCCAGGGACATGCAGGGGAAACCTCAAAACGGATCTCAATGCAACTATGCAGACGTGCGCTGTTGTGATGCAGTTTCTGGTGTGAACTAACCTTAAGCGTTAGTTCACACCATGTGCAGTTGTGATGCAGTCCGTTCAGTTTGACTGCTGCAGCCAAAATACATCCCAATGCTTTCCTATGGGCTTTCTCGTGCTGTATTCACACCATTGCAATCCGTTCAGATGCAGTCAGAAAAAGTACTGCTTGTCCTATTTTAGCTGCGTCTAACTACACCGGAACGCATCAAAACGCAACGGAGCGCATACAAAAAAAACAGAATTGATTGTGGCATCATACAGGGACATCCAGGGGAACAAACGCATCACAAACGCATCAAAACGGATCGCAATGCAACTGCGCAGACGCACGCAGTTGTGATACAGTTTCTGGTGTGAACTAACCCTCAGGGTAGTGATATATATTCACATTAGACATAACAGTAAGTAGGAGAAGATCTATCTAGGTCATGGAGCTGACCGCAGAAACCACTGGAAAGTTGTCTTCTTCTATGTACCCGATTTCAAACAATCAGAAAATCTTGCACTCTCTACTTGCAATAATTAGCAATTCTGATGTTCGTAAATACTTATTGCAGATGATGCATTATCAGTATTGCATGTGTTTGGCCACCTTAAGACAAATGAGAGTATCCCAACAGCTTTCATCTTTGGAAATGAAACAAGGAACAGACAGTTTGTAAAAGTGTTTGCAAGGCAAGTGATTACATTGCTTGGTGAATGCCTTGCGTGTTTGCTGAGCTTTTCTCTTTGCCATTTAATTTTGTTAACAGTGCATTTTTTACTCTAGACAAAGTTTATGTCATCCCGCAATAATTGCTACTTTCTGGTCGGCTCATGTACAAGCAGCAATAAATAATGCACCGCTCCTATAATACAAAGCTGATCATTGATCATTACTGTAGAATGCCGCTATTGTAGTCTTGTTGGTTTGGTTATTTCAAACTATACATTAACACCTGAAACGAAGGTTTATTATTAGGTGAATTCTGTTCACAGAGGTGAAAATACATTACTCTGTGGTACTCCATGAATGAATGCCAGTAAATTAGATGATAGCAAAATGTATAATTTTCTGCTATTAAAGAGACCCTGTCAATACAGTAGAGAATTAAATCAGAAATACCCAGTATAAGAAAAGATTTTCTACTTGCCTTTCTGATGGGAGCAGGGTCAAATCTCTCAAACACTTTGGTGGGTGCTCGATATCTGGCCCTTGTTGGGTTTTGTGGATTCTCCCACTGGCTGTTATATCATTACTATATCCTTTTAGTGACATATCTGTTAAATGGAGAAACCATAGTGCCCAAAAGGGGACCAGACACATCTGGAAATGTTGGATATCAGTGGCTTCTGTAGCTCTTCAAGAGAACAAAGATTTCTCTCACCACCTATTGGAAATATACGTACTTAATCTCTTCTTCTTTTGCAGCATCCATTACTGCAGTAATAGGGTTACTGTAAAACCCAAATACAACCAGAGTTAGGACTTATTGCTGTCTGTATCCCAAGTATGGAGTTTCATGTCACTTTTTATCCCTGTGACATTAGAACAGGAAATCAGAGGAACTGAGGTCACCGGGACAGTAAGGTATATACACCAATAACAATAGCATAGACTGCAATAGTACAAAAGTCATTTTTAAATAGTTTCAGCAAACAACATTTATTAGTCTCATACCTTCTATTAAGTCCGTTTTACAGGCAGATCTGATCAGAAGCTCAATACTAGTCGGAGGGCAGGCTGATGTAAACCTGAGTGTTTACATCTGATTACCTACAAGTCTTTCTAGGTCTTATAAGAAAAAAGGTTTGCATCATTATCCATTTTTTTGGGAATTAAAGTGACAGATTGGAGGTAAAAGGAGGTAACTGGACGCATTTCTGTTTACATCCACCTGTCCATTAAGTTCAGAGATGGAGGAAAAACTGGACAGACATGGATGTCACAGTTGTCACCCAATGGATGTCACCCAATCTACTTTGATTGAGCAGGAGATCAGATGTTTTGTTTGTAAGGTCCTTTACAAAGCTTTGAGCCTACAGCAGAAGTAGTAGGCTGCTTGTGACTTGTTGCCATTCCACATAATGTAATTTAGATTCAGCAGTGAAAGCACCCAAATGCATAAATACATTGATTACACATAGATATGCACCAGTTGGGATGTACAGATTTTCATTTTGTGCATTAACATTTAAAACTCAGTTTAAAGAGGACCTGTATAGTGGAAGCTGTGCCCAAAAAAAAGATTAGAGAGGAAAGGACTAGTTACCAGCTTTGCCTGTAGACTCCCTCCAGCTGATTATTTACCCA